TGTGTCATCATCAGCAGCATCACCATCATTGTCTGTGTCATCATCAGCAGCATCACCATCATTGTCTGTGTCATCATCAGCATCATCACCATCATTGTCTGTGTCATCATCACCATCATTGTCTGTGTCATCATCAGCATCATCACCATCATTGTCTGTGTCATCATCAGCATCATTGTCTGTGTCATCATCAGCATCATCACCATCATTGTCTGTGTCATCATCAGCAACATCACCATCATTGTCTGTGTCATCATCAGCATCATCTTCCACACCCTCATCATCATTTCTATCACCCTAGCAGTATCATCAGCATCAGGGGCAAGAGCATCATCATCATTATTCTCACCTCCATCATTATCTATCGATATAGGCTTGCATGTACGACTAACTGCGGTACATCCCTTGTGACTCGTACCTTACTGTTGCCTGCTGGCTGTTCTCTCTCGCCCTGGTCAACATTCTTACGACCAGCGAGCAGTTACTCGAAAGTGATATGTTGTCGTCTGCTGCTCTCTCCAGCCTCTCAAACTCCTCAATGTCTTCAACTTCTATCTGCGGAGGATATCACAACAGCAGTTATTGTCAGGGAGCTAACGCATGTTCGTGGTACGATATCTTAGTGGAAGTCCGAAGCATCGATTGTTCGCTTTGTCCCGATTACACACGAAAACATACTGACATCATTGCTAATTAAATGAACGGGCGAGCTTGTGTCATGTATTACTTATAAGCAAGAGTAAGATGTAATGTAAGTTCATGCAAGCGATGAATTCGGAAAAATTTGAATTTGGTTAATTGATCGGAAATAGAGAGTTCTATTAGTACTGAACTGTATCAAACTGATAGCGAAACACACGGAAGTGTTGCCCCACCTGTTGGTTTCGTTCTGCCTCCTGCAGGGGGCGCCGGAAGTCCAGCTCCATAGAGGACAGCACATCTTGTTCTTGCATTCCTGGGGAAGACTCCCAGCTGGGTGAGGCCTTAGTCTCATGGCCTGTGGGAGGAGCTATGTCCTGCATCCTGCGACACGACGAAACATTTCATGGAAGCGTTACAAGTCAGTTAATGCAGATTATGACAAATGGCGCAAGAGCAACATACGTGCATTTTTACCTTCAATCGATATTCATAAAAAAAATTAGAATTCCGGTAAAACTGTACCACCCTCTTCAAATAAAAGGCTGCACAAAACCACCGCAGTCCAAGAGCGATATATTTTTCGGCAGCACGCTCGAACACATGGTAACATAAAGCATAACAAATAACTCTGCAAAAAAAAATCTTAAACGTTCCACGATGCTCGTCGCGAAAACGACCACTCGACGTGATCAGACCGACGCGTTGATGACATCAGCTGACTCGGGTTGTCACGGTTACGACTCACCGCACGGCTGCTGGTGCGACGCGTTCGCTGCCCGTGACGACATTCTCGCGACCTCCCTCACTCTCCGGCGGAGCGGATTTCCGCGTCATCGGGAGCAGACGGAGACTTGTCGCGAGGCCCGGGGGTCGGCCCGCCACGAGACTTGGGGGTCGACCCGTCGCGAGACTCGGGGGTCGGCCCGCCTCCGTCCTCCCCCGACCCGAGGGTGGCTTCTCATCCCGTGAATCGTCAAGACGCAGCTTCCTCGTCCGCAGATCACCGAGGGGAGGCTTCGTGGCCGATGTCTTCGCAGGCGGCTGCCTCCCGGGACGAGACACGGCAACCGTGGTCGGTCGCCGCCCCATTCCGAACCTCTCCAGTCCCGCGCCCTTGCGAAGAAAACTTCTCTTTGGCAGCGTGGTGGATTTCGCTACGCTTTCCGTTGGAGGTTGCCCGTCCTGTAAGATCACGCGGTTTACGGGGTTAAACTTTCTGAGGGTAACATGCAGGATTTGACTTGATCATCGGTACTACGTAATGCATCGTCGGTCTTTAAAATCCGAGTTTAACGCAGAGTTTAACCGTTACGACGGCTCAATGGTAGTGCTGGCCTCGTATGTGGAAAGTCGGGAGTTCACTCCCGGCCGGGTCATACCAAAGACTAGAAAAATGGTACACGCGGCTTCTCTGCTTAGCACTCAGCAAATAGAGACAGAGTGTGGCAAGTTAACTCGCAGTGATACCAGTGGACTAACCCCCTACTGTAGCATTTACTGTGACAGCAGCTGCGGGGCCTCAGGGTTACTGAAACAGAGATAGGCACCGACCTATGCGCCATGCGGAAAGGATTTAACTTTTAACTTTTTTAACCGTTACAAGAGCAAAAGAGCGAGAGAGAGAGAGAGAGAGAGAGAGAGAGAGAGCAAGAGAGAGAGAAAGAGAAGAGCGCAAACCTGCTCTTTCAGCTTCAGTTCGACGAGCTCCATGAACGATTGTGCACCCGACGGCCGAATCAGCCTCTCGTCATCATCGCCAGGTGGCGCCGTGGGACCGTCGTCCGTCGCATCGCTCAGCATCTCACTAGAGGCGTCGCTGCGTTCCGAGACATCGTGCGGAGCGTCGATCGGCGGCGTCCCGGCGTCGGAGAGCAGGTCCCCATCGCTGTCCGAGAGCGGGCGTACGCCGGGTTCCGCCAGGAGATCTCCTGCCTCTTCCTCATCACTCTTGCTGTCCTGCGTAACGAGGTAATGAGCTCGTTAACTATCGGACGCGCGCACTCACAGACGTACACCGGAAGCGCTTTACAGCGATGTGTGAAGCTGCTCCGTTGCTACGTGCACTTACGCAGGATCACGTTCCCCTTCCAGTACAGAGCTGACACAGAATAGGTCTGCCTGGCTTCCATGATATAGAAACTGACACAGAATAGGGTTGCATTCCTTTACATAGAATGGACATAGAATGGACACAGAATAGGGTTGCATTCCTTTACATAGAATGGACACAGAATAGGGTTGCATTCCTTTAGAAAGCATAGACACAGAATAGCACTGCTTTTCATTATATAGAATGGACACATTCTAAGGTTGCCTTTCAAGATATAAAACAGAATAGGGTTGCCTTCCAGAACATAGAACGAGAATAACTACGTCACGAATTTTCTATGGTGTATATTTGTAAAAAAAACTTCTTGCAATTATTTACATGAAAAGTAAGTACTAATGGGACTAAATGTACCCTCAAATTCTTACCTGATAAGATTGTTTCTCAACCAGTTAGAAATCCAAAAAACCTGTGCGACTTGATATATTGATGATGACATTAAATGCTTGCTATGGACTATGTATGAGTCACAAGTGTTTGTTTACATCGAACGGAATAATAATTTTACGCAGCAATTTAACCATAAAAAGTGAACAGAATCACTTCATTTTGTGAAAAAGTGGACATCATTTTTTTACTTTTACTATTTACGGTGACGTAATCACTTTAAACTGTGGCAACGTCGCTATTCCACGTTAGTAGCCACAGAGGAGCCGACCGGTTTAGATTGCATACCTTGTAAGTGTCGGCAAATCTCCGACATCTCGCGGCAACGGGTGTGGAACATCTCATAGCGCCCGGCATCTGCGGAAGATCGTGTAACGAACTCTGGACAGAGTTCTCTTCGGTGGGGAGACTAGGTAGAGTCACCGGCTCTGTGATGGCGAGTAACGTATGTATACGTTCCTGCTCCTTCTGTAAAGAAAAGATGTATATGTTGTCTTCCCGTAAGACAAACACAGGACTAATATCACGAGTATGATCCGTGTAGTTCACGAGCACTTTTGCAGGACTTGTGTTTTTACGTTGAGCTATGTGCCATTTCTAGTAAGGCTGTAACCATACACAAGCCTCTCGATTCGATCCGGTTCTCGATATTAGCCTCTCGATTCGATTCCTTTAATTCGATTCCCAAAATATTGAAATGTTATCTTATTTTATATATTTTCATTATTTTGCAATAATAAATTATTAGAAATTGCCAATGAATACTAAATGGTGAATAGACTAGAGAGTCAAGAGAGTATATATACACTGCACAGTCGCTGAATTAATAACATTGGTGAGTAACACCAGAGGATATTAAACCTCTCCATTCAACTGAAGGCTTCCTTTTCCTCCTCCTCCCTCCTCCTCCTTGCGACTGACATCACCCTGCAGATAACATATTGCACAATGCAGTCAACTATAGTTTCCACCTATTCAACCAGAGCAAAAATAAATAACTAATATACCTGCTTGGTATCAACTATAGATCATCTAGCCTGTGACACAGCAGTTTGATGCGTACGATTACATGTACACAGGCATTACTCACTATAAATATGTTGAACGTTCTCCATGATTTTGTTGATTTTTAGGCAGCGCTTGTGTTTCATTAACTTTGAATACTGTTTTTATCAAAAATTACCATCTGCAGATTGTCGCACTTCGTCTTAGGAGGTAATTGTTCTCTTTCCACAGCTGCGTATATGACAATGTACTCTGCTGGTTGCCGCGGAAGAGATGGTAGGCCTAGGGGAGGATATACACCACCTCTCTCTCTAATAGCGGACGTCCAGAGACCTAGCGGAATGCTAACTTCAGGCATGGTCGATAACAGCGCCTGCGCTTTGCATTGTTTCGACCCCTGTTTGTTTCAGACAAGACCCCGCTGCTGTGAAACAAACGGCGACATTATAGTATGCAGAGCATAGTGGCCATGCTACTGCTAGGCACACTAGTAGTGCCAGTGGCTATGGGCTGTAGTCAGTAGTGTACTACTACTAGTAGTAGTACTATGTATTATATTATTATGTTACCAATGCACTGCAAGTGCAAGTGTGATATTGCAACGAAAAGAGCGGACTGCCGCCACGCAATCAATCCAGCACGCAAACCTCCCCGCTTCCCCTCTCACAACCCACTCCACCCAGATCCTGAAACTCATGATTCACGGTTTGAGGGGCCAATTACGATACAAGCCCGAGACGGAGTACTAGTC